CCCCAAAACCCCAAAACCCCAAAACCCCAAAACCCCAAAACCCCACACTATGAATAATTAATTGAAGATAATTTTATAATTCAAATTTAAAAATGTCATATAAGGAACCAATCCAAGGCCTGAGTGAGTCCCATCTCACTGGTACTGTCCAAGTTGACTTTGATATCAATGATCCAAGAGTTTCCATTTCAGATTTGGAGGACAAGAGTATAATTATTACTCAACCGGATTCTGGGCGAAGACGTTCTACTTGTGGATTACCAAATTTAGGAACCTATTAACACTAAAGTTCATATTAAGTAATTCTGGATGACTAATCATAGACTTGGAGCTCGCTATTTGGTGCAGAGAATTGATATCCAACTTCATAGGCAGGGTAAGACTCTCTCTAAGATCTGTTGTTTAGAAGGCATGGCCAGCAGTTTCGAGTCGTCAGAGCAGAGCTTAAACGTGATAGGAGTCTTGACTGACAAAGTAAGGTTAGATATTATATCGTAGCCATTCTTACCCTTTGAAACTGATGGGGAAGTTAAGTCGGACAATCACACTGTATTACATATAATTGATCAGCAAAATATGATAGAAGGTTTATATCTAGACTGAATCATTATTAATGGACTTGCAATTGGAGATGAAATCGATATCATTTTTGAAAGGCTGAATTCAAGCCGTAATCATAGCGAATGAAAAGCCAATCAAGATCCATTAAACAACAGCATGGCTGCTAAAGACATGCTTATTGATAAGCTGTTTGGTAATTCATATGCAGTATCAATAGGTGATGGTAAAGATGGGGTACCTTATAGAACCAATGAGCCCAAGCACTCGGAGTCAGTGAAAGATTTTACTCCTTCTCTAACTCAAAGAGATATGAGCATTCAAAATGTTGCTGAATTCTTAAAGACCATAATCAAAAGAATTACAGTTTTAGGATTTCCATTTACTCAGATGCCTGCAGGCACTAATATGATAAAGATGCTCAATATCAGTAGCATCTTCAAGAACTATGGCTATGTCGACGAGTACTACAACTCTCTGTTTCTTTCAGGACTCACTATGGTTAGTGCAAGGAAGTATATACAATCTGTTGAGTTCTTCAGGAACATTCAGAGCAACATATTTAACAAAATTCTAAATGTTCCTGATGACATTTTCAAGAAAGAAAAGAGTCAAGAAGAAACAAAACAAGAGGCTCAAAGTGACCATGTATCAGGGAATCATCCATTCAAGGCAACAAGGATTACTCCTGAGCCCCAGTCACAAAATAGAACTTTGAGTGACGCCCAAGTTAGGAAGTCCTTGAAGACAGCTGCCAAGCTAGAGATCCTAATTGCAGACTGTTGTTCTCAACATTCTCAGCTGAGAGAGAAGCTTTCTGCATTTAAGAACGCCACTATTCTGTATAAGATAAAATCTTTGGAAGAATTCAAGCAATCTCTTGCTTTGCTGTCTCCTTCACAGGCTGCAAAGACTCAGCCTTCATTATCATATTTACAAGAAGAAGATATCTACGCTTGTTTGTCACAGCTCCAACCTCATTTGCTGAGCTTCATTCTTTCAAATCTCAACGATGGAAATGCTCCGATCAGGATTGCTTTCTTGAAGTCTCTGGAATTTTTAATAGATACTCTTGGGCCTTCTCTGGGGCAGCCTTTGCAGCATAGTCATCCGAAGACTCTGATGGCCGTGACTGAGTTAGAGCCCTTGACAGCAACGATGAAGAACACCTACAACCACTTCTTATAGAGTCCTTTCTGAGTGTGCTGAGTTCCCTCTCCACAGCCAGTCTGCTTGTGCTCTACAACGAGGTGTTAGTCCCTCGACTGGGCAGACTGGGAGAGGTCACTGCAGATGTGTGCATTTACCTACTAAAGATGGGCGATAAGGTCATTGAAAGATGCCAAGGAGATGTCCCCTTCAAACTAGAGTTTGTAGACATGGTATTTGACAAGGTTTGGAATAGAGACTCTTCAGCTCTTGGACTTGCTATAAGAGAGTTCTGGAGCAAAATGGTCAGACAAGTCTTTGGACGCTATGGAGATAAAAGAATGAAGCAAGTAGGTGATTGGATAATGCAGAGAATCAAGAAATGTAAGGAAGCTAGTGAAGAACATGAGAAAATGGAAGCAGATGAACTTACCAGCATTTTTGAACTTGTAGGAGTTCTTGTTAAAGAAAGAAAAAGTCCAGAATATTGGAATAGCGATACGAGAAGATTTGGAAATTATTATGACAGCTTAAAGCAAAGAGGATCTATAGATAACCTAGTGATAAGAAGATGACCAAAAGGAGATCTTAATTTAGGGCTTTATAGCTTAGTTAAGCCTGTCTTGTTCTGGTGCGATTATTCTATAGAAAAAGAGTCGAGAATAAATTTATTTAAGCCAGCATGGAAAGCTTTGGTCAAGTTATTTGAATCTCTTCCAGTAAATACAAATGACGAGTTAATTCCAATAATATTACCATATTTGAGCAGGATCCATGAGTTTTCAATGAAAAGTTCACCAACATTGTCAATGCTGAAATTTATCAACCTTATAATCAACCCCATCAACTCCAATCTCCCTTCCTACTACGACAGGCCTTCCAAAATGCAGAGCAAGCTCAATGCGTTTTTGTTGTCCTTCCTCGTCAACTTTGTGCGGTGGGTGCCTCACAACCTGAATGAAGAAGCGTTCAAAGTTCTTGAAACTTTGCTGGTCACTCTCAGGTTCAGTCTCCGTTACGAACACATAGAAGCTGTAACACTTGCATTGCTAGACAAGTACACCATGCGGAGCAAAATTCACAAAGAAATCATGAGTTTCTTCATTAGTTTATTGCTGGAGCAAGACTCTGGTGATGAAGCCAATGATTTTCAGCCAGAGAGACAGAGTTACACACAAGCCTTTGTCAAGATCATCATCAGTGGTCACGACTCGCTTCTGAGTTTACCCCAAGAACATGGCAAAGACAATGTTGACTTCCTTGAGAAAGTTGGGCTTATCAATTCTCTCATCAACGACATGGACGACAGGCACATTGGACTCTTCGATTCGATTGTCAGAAACAAGGCTCTACAGAACTTTTTGTGTCTGATGGTCCACTCAGGAGTGACCAGCATCTGCTTGAAGGCACTCGAGATTGTCCAGAACTTCACCCAGTACTATGTCCAAGTCTGTGTCACAAAGTACAACGAGCCTGAAGTCCAGCAGTCAGCAGACGATGAGCAAGCTGACTTCGAGATCGTGACTCTGAGCCACACGCGGCTGTTTCTGGCACAGATGATTGTGAAGATCTGCTTTCTGTCAGCTGAAAAGTACCAGAACACAAACGCATACATTGAGTTTTCAACTCTTTCATTGTTGAGCATGCTGTACGAGTCTGTGATGCCAGCACCATCGTTTGCAAACGAAATCTACAAAGCCCAGAACATCGAAATGTACAGCAAGAAAGTGAGGCAGAACGAGATCCCTGATCTCAGAGAAGTCGACCCCGCTTTGCTACCTCAGTATGAAATCATTGATCCGGAGTACCTAGCGATGAGGCTAGACTTGTCTTTCAAGCTCTGGGACTACATCCGTGCAGGCCTCGACTCTCAGTGGACCAACATCCAGAAGCTGGCGTATCGTCTGTTCGGACGCATTCTACATATAGATTTCCACAACTACAACAATGAGCTGAAGCGGAAATTCAAGAAACAAGTTCCGACATTGCTGAACCTGTTGCTCGAGAAAGAAAACACCGAAGCCAACAAAGGCTGTCTCTACATTCTGGGATCATTCTGAGGCTTTGGCTTCGACTGTTACTGTTCAGGGCTTGATGTCAGAGAAAGCATTTTATTCTTCAGAAGGAACCAGAGCTACATACCCAAGACTTTATGGCAGAAGGTATTCGACATCAACGACTGGGACGACAATGTGCAAGATGCAGCCAATATTCTGATGCAGTTCTGTGCACCGAGAGAGTCCCTGAAATATTTCACACAGATGCGGAATGAGCAATATGAGTTGAAGCTGTCCGAATTACAGAATGAGTTGTCTGTTTCAAGATCTTGTAGGCCTGGTAATTTTGATTTGTTTCTCAATATTGTAGTTGAAGATATCCAATCCAAAGAAGATCCAGAAGAAACTGAAGATGTGTCACATAAAGATCAATCAAACACAGATATTTTGAGTCCATCTTCTAGTAGTGGCAATAACTCTTTCAGAGATGAAACTGAAATGGAATTCAACGAAAAGTATTTCTATATTGATAAGTATAATAATCACCAGATAAAAGATCTTATCAAGCTCTTCTTAGCAAAAGTGCTTACTGATTCTAAAGAATCGGAAGAAAGCATGAAGCAGCTCCCTTCTAGTGTAATATTTTCACTTCCTAGTAAACTTTGGATCGATAAACAAGGCATTAGCGATAAAGAGAATGAGGACAACGATGAGACATTTGAGGAAGATAAACTCACGGACTTCATAGAAGATACAATTGATGCTACAGATGAAGACATTCTCAAAGATCCTCAAAGCACTGTTTTCCCGTATGCTTCTAAATTTGTACAAAGCAAGAAGGATATAAATGATAAGCTCAAGAAACAAGAAGAGAGCGGATATCTTATATATGAGAGACACTTTGAATCTCAACCATTCGCACAAGATGAAGAAGATAAGGACATTGAAATTGAAGTACCAGAGGAATCATCGTCAAAAGAGATAAATTTTGATGAGGATCTTAATACAGAGGATCTTGGTATCATAGATATTGAAGATGATGATGTATTCGATGATGATAAACTCCCATTCTTGAAGAATACATATTCTAAGAAATATAGACCTAATAATAGCAAAAGTGTAGCAGCCGGCTCCAAATCTAAAGCAAATAGGATAGATTTTGGACGTGAAGATATTGGGCCTGATTCTAGCCCTAGACTAAAGGAAAATACTTCAACTGTAGTCTCTGCTTCGAATTCCTCAAATATTAAAGAGGATCAAAATACAGAGCAACCTTCTCTTTTAAGTGAAGAATCAAAAATGGCTCCAAAATCTGAACTCGAACAAGAAGCTGATGAAGTTGTATTCCAAGAAGAACAAGAGCCTCCTTCTGATCCTCAAGAGGAAGAAAAAGCAACAACCGAGTCTAAAGCCCCATCTGAAAGCCCAAAAGAGGTTCAAAATCCAACATCTCATCTCTCAGATCCCACTCCTCCCTCTAATTCTTCAGATTCTTCTCCTCCCCCAACAAATGATGACCCAGAAGTGACTAAATCCCAGTCAGAATCTAAAGTAATGCAGGACCTTAAAAGTAAGCTTCCCTAATTCCTTTAGGCATCGAGATAGACTCAGAAACCTCTGAAGGAGAAGAGGAAGAGGACATCGACAAGTATCTAGACTACAATGACGAGGGAGAATCAGACGATGAGTTCACCTTCAAGAAATTCCCAGAGAAAATCGAAAATGTAGAAGTCAGTATAAGTCCTCCAGAAGATAAAAATCTTGAACTGATTGATGACTTCGATATCTGTGTAGAAAAACAAATTGAAGAGGATAAGAAAGAAAATAAAGAGAAAGATATAAAGGAAGTTAAGGAAAATGTAAAGCAAAGAAGAAAGAAGAGACCGGAGGCTAAGAAAGACCACCACAAAATCCCTGCTTCCAAAATAACCAAGAATCCTGACATCAAAGAAGCCCTCTCAAAATCCCTGGAAGAGTCTAAAACCACCCCTCGCCAGTTCATATCCAAAAAGAAAGTGACTTCTTACAAACCAAGGACCAAAAACGTGAACATCTGCATTTCAAACCCAGACATCAGCATAAAAACCTCATATCCCCAAATAAACACCTCTAAAATCCACAGTTCAAAACTCTGCTCCAAAAAACCCCTATCCTCCAAACCACCTCCCTTCAGTCAGCCCCATTCCTCCCCCAAGAACCCACCCTCTAAGCCTCCAGCTAATCCTCCTCTCTAACAAGTCAGTACAAATCCTCCGCTTAAAAATTATTATTGGCTTCAATACACAGTAGAAATCTGGGGTTTTGGGGTTTTGGGGTTTTGGGG